AGCAAGTTCTAGGTTCTGTGGTTTAACCCACAGCGCCACCCACGTCCCTCCAAGGCAATACTTACTTGCTTTCATGCTATAACCAACTTTTGTGCATATGCTGTGAAAGACAAACTCCAAGAACAGCAAGATTTAAAGAAGGTGGGGGAAAACTAGGGAAGAATTGTACCACTCGACTCTCCTGCAACATATTCACAGTTTAGCATCATGGAAGGGTAAATTCTCAAATAAATTAACTTCAAAACAGAAATGATAACAAAATGTTGGTTCTAGAGTTCCCATCTGATGGACAAGGGAACACGTGATCTTTTCTTCAGACTGTCCTCCAGCCTGCCTCAGTGCCATGTGGACTGAGCAAACGGGTGTCATTTACCCCTCTCAGAGCTACAATCCCCAGCACCCTTGACAAACTACAGTTCCCATGTTTCTTCAGGGGAAGCCATGTGCTTTAAATGTATGGCGTGCACCTAGTTTAGGTACAAAACCACAATGGAAACATTTTGCTATAATTAATGCTTTCCATGGACATTCTTCATGAAAGTGCTCTAGTTTCACCTCGTTTCTCAGCACAACAAATAAACAAGGTTATCAACCCCTGGGCCCACTTCAGAGAAACATGATCCCAACCCCTGAAACACGGAGTGCTTCCTTTTATATAGCTCTCACTGTGTCCTATCCAGCTCAGGTTAATGCAGCCTCCAGCCAATACAAGGGTAATTCACTCCCAGGCTGAAGTTCCAGCAGACAATCTAATAATCAAAGGATTAGCTGCAAACAGTGACTGATGGCCTTCTAAGAAACAGCAAAAGCTAAAACAAACAGAATGTTTTCAACTATAGGCTGGAAGCACAGGTCTGGGCTCTGGAGGGCTTTGAGGTGACTCTGCACCAATTGCATCTGCTTTCTGCAAGTCTTTAAAACGGCCAGAAGAACAGCTGAAAACATAAACTTTGAAACTCCGTCAGTGGTAAAATGTGCAAGCTGTTAATACAAAACAAGCTTAACACCTCTCTTCGCTTTGGGCATCACAACAAAGCAGCACACAGGATAGGAAGCATGGCCTGCTCTTGTGTATCCTGTTTCCTTTCCCCTCTTCTGCCATTAAATTCTGAAGCTTCTAAAGGGGCTTCCAAAAAGAAAAAAGAAGGAAGGGAAGGGGAAGAGTTGTCTCATCAAATAATAAAGTGTGAATAGAGATCTGAGCCACACCTGCCCTAGCTAGATACAGAGGTAAGCACATACAGTATTCTGGTTCCTACAATTTCTTCCACAATTCTACAGTTTATTAAATTACACATAAACCTCCTCTTTCACTTCCTCTCTCTTTTGAAGTAAAGATTCCAGGTTTCTATGGGCCCTGCTACACTGTGCATTGGAAGCCATAGTCTGAATTTCCCAAATCCCACGCTTTCACATTTTCCTCCAACCAAGCCTGAGATAAGCTGATCATTAATACAAGGAACATGTCTTTACTCACATGCTGCACACATAAAACACTCCAGCCATAGATTGTCATATTGCTGTAGCTCTCTGAAGTGTTCCCTGGGCAAGCCCAGGCTTCATTTCCCATTGATCTGTAACCAGTTAATCTCCCTTTTCTTAAAAGATGAATTTCATGCACCATTAAACTATGGAAAAACAACTTTGCAAGATTCTAGAGCTGAGCTTCAGTCCTCAATACCCAGGCCAGTACATACCCACTTGCAAGCCTTTTTGCTCCCAACAATGACGCAAAGGGCATTCTTGGTCAACACCCACTTCTGACAATTGTACAGTGCCCCAATTCTACACAGCACTGGGAACTGTCCACCACTAAAATTAATGGAACTAAATTTTAAGAAATGTGCTTAAAATTGGGATGAAAGTCCAAAGAATCCACTTGCCAATGACAAAAGCTTTGATTAACTTTTTTTAAAAAAAACCCAACCATTTAACAAACTCTTTCATAACTGCAGACCCCTAGATGAGAATGTATATAATGTTTATAAAAATGGCACTGGGCTATTTTTAAAACTTCTTTTACCTCACAATTACAGGACACAATAGCTTTGATTCCCCATATAACTCAGTTGGAACTCTTGTAAGCCGACTGAGAGGAAATGTCAGGTTATGGAGGGAAATGGCTATTGTAGTTGCTCAGAGATTTCAGAATCTCTGCTTTTGAATAACTTGTATAAATGCATCTAGCACATATATAGTATGTTTGAGTGGTCTAAGCACATAATGCACTTTAGGCCACTTTGGAAATTTTTCAGGGATTTTTTTCAGCCGGAACTCAATTCCGGCACTTCTCAACGGGGTGCCATTGCCATTCTAAGAGAACGAGGGAGGTGTTTTCTTCTAGAAAAAAACACTGGAAATAACCACTAGAAATAACCACCTAAAAGATCTTTGGCCCACAACCCCCCTCAACCCTCTTTACATTAGGGCTGTATGAGATTTCAGTACAACATGCTTGGTCAGATATACCCCATACAAATTAATGCTGTAATTGTTCTCATTATTAAGAAAAACTGTAAAGTGAGCTCCCAGGTATATTAAAAAATGCAAAGCCGTCTATTCAGTTGCTTCTGGCTTTGGTGTCTGATTTAGTCCGTCTTGAGTGAAAGCCTATTTAGTGGCTACCAGGCATGGAATTGGTACTATCCACAATTGGTGTCACTATTAAGTTTGTTTGGAGAGCCAAGTGTACTATGTCAGCAATAATGGGAGCTATGGACCTTGGCTCGTTTTGTCTTGGAGGGTCATCATCTGGTTTTACCCGTGGAGCACAGAACAAAGCAGCAAAATGCCTTCTTTACAGTAGTAAACACTAGCCATAATTCTACACATATCTATGGATGCTTGCCTCTCTAGAATCTATGGAGCCTAAGGGTGCTTATCAATGCACTGAGTTTAACCATGAGAAAGGATTGATCCATAAAAAAAGGACTATAAGCAGACATTTATAGTATACTAATGGCACTTAGAGTCCAGTCCTAAAAAATTTACTGCATCTGCAAATAAGTGTGCCAAACACAGCCCCAATGTACATGCATGCATGTGTGCATAAATAAATGTGTGCCTGCATGCATAAATAAATTTCAAAGCTCCTTTACGGTTATGTTGGAAGGGCACTGCACAGCTAATACAATCAGATGCACCACTGCAGATCTTTAGGACTTAAGAAGAAAAGAAGAGTTTGGGTTTGATATCCCGCTTTATCACTACCCGAAGGAGTCTCAAAGCGGCTAACATTCTCCTTTCCCTTCCTCCCCCACAACAAACACTCTGTGAGGCGAGTGGGGCTGAGAGACTTCAGAGAAGTGTGACTAGCCCAAGGTCACCCAGCAGCTGCATGTGGAGGAGCGGGGAAGCGAACCCGGTTCCCCAGATTACGAGTACATTGCTCTTAACCACTACACCACGCTGGCTTTCTTGATACTAGTATGTCAAATTACTTAGGAACCTTGGAATCTGCCTTATCAAATTATTGGTCCATCTGTCACTACACTGTCTACGAACGCTAACATCCAGCAACTCTCCAAGGTTTCTTTCTTAGGCATCCTAGAGATTCCAGGGATTGAACCTGGGACCTTCCGCATGCAGAGCAGACGTTCTACCACTGAGCCACAGCCCTTCGACAATTCAAGCAGAGGTGGCTCACTGCTTCTTAAATTTTCACCCCACCTCTGCAAGGCAAAGAAAGTCAAGTCATTAAAGCAAGAATCCTATATGCACTTACCTGGAAAACAAGTCCCAGTAAACTGAATGGGACTTCCTTCTGACTAGGCATAGATATAGCATTGCACTGTAATAAGCTTCCATAGTACACCCATGTAGTGTTATGATCCCCTTTCTCAGGATCACTTAGCTCTTTTCATCATGACTGGGGAAATGGGAATAATTGCTCACAACTATATACAAAACGGGGACGCGGGTGGCGCTGTGGGTAAAAGCCTCAGCGCCTAGGGCTTGCCGATCGAAAGGTCGGCGGTTCGAATCCCCGCGGCGGGGTGCGCTCCCATCGTTCGGTCCCAGCGCCTGCCAACCTAGCAGTTCGAAAGCACCCCCGGGTGCAAGTAGATAAATAGGGACCGCTTACAAGCGGGAAGGTAAACGGCGTTTCCGTGTGCGGCTCTGGCTCGCCAGAGCAGCGATGTCACGCTGGCCACGTGACCCGGAAGTGTCTCCGGACAGCGCTGGCCCACGGCCTATAGAGTGAGATGGGCGCACAACCCTAGAGTCTGGCAAGACTAGCCCGTACGGGCAGGGGTACCTTTACCTTTTTATATACAAAACGAGATGCTAGCACATATCACATCGTACTGCCGTTTTGATCAGTGAATATATTGATAACTAAGTTTCAAGTTTTAAAACTAGTTTTAAATGGACAAACCCACAAATGCAGTTCACTTTAGAAGATCATCCTGACAAAGCAGCTGTTGCCTAACCTAAAAAACAGCAATATAAATGACCATTCTTAACTTCCTAGAGAAAATTTCTTCAAGCGTGGCCCAAAATATTTGGTATAACAGCATAAAGAGAAGTTATGAAGTGCCAAAACATGAGGAATCCCAATGGGTAGCGCTGTACAAATATTCACATAAAGCTAAAATGCAGCCTTCAACCAATGCCCTTAATGATAACCAGCTGGTGGTTTCCGCCCGCCCCCCCCCAACAGCCTCTCCCATTAGATTACATGTTCCCTTTTCTAAACATCAACTCCCACAAGACCATTAATAATGTCTCCTAAATTAGATTGTTAACATCTGCTGATTTTTGTCAATGGCGTGTTGGGCTTTTCTTTGATAGCCTTTCCTGTTCCCACTAAATCATGCTTGCTGTGGCCTTAACTAGAAGGGAGATAAGTAACGCTTTGCTGAGAGTCCCTACTAAGAAAATAACTAGGTAGAGGCCAATTCTTTACCCACCACATTTTAGAAGACGTTTACAACTGAGTTTGCAAACCACACATATACGCTGCATCTGATATTTATTTTTGGCGATTTCAGGCTTACCTATAATACTGTAGCTCTGATTCTAGCTGCTGAATATATATCTGCAGCTGTGGCATTTTATGGGCTTTAGCTTCGAGTTCCTTTACTTTTCCAAGGCTGTTAAGGACAGCATACCGGGCTTCTTCAACCTTTTTCCTCATTTCCGCTTGCTCTCTCTTTAGACTGCGGTTGCAGTCTTCCAGGGCGACCAGAGCTTCGTGAGAATTCCTCAGTTCTTTTTCCAGTTCCTGGTTGAACCTAATTGCTTCTTCAATTTGTCCATCCCTAGAACTTCGGATTAATTCAACCTCTTTTAGAACACTTTGAAGGCACTTGGAAGTCTGGGACTGACCGTTAGCTAATTGTCTCCGGTTGCTTATAAAACAGGTCCCATTATTCTTATGGTTAGCATGGCTCTTCCACAATCCTACCTACAATCAACAGGGGAGAGGCAGAAATATAAATTAGAAGGAAAGAAGCTACACTTTAATCAAGCAGATTTGTTTCAAATTCACTTTTGGTCTAAGATGTTTTAGAAAGTCCAGCTCATATAGGTCTCAAACAAGGCTAAAGTACCACAAAGACTGAACCATAGACCTATAGATGCCAGAAATTTCCAATGAACAAGAAAAGGAAATGAAATTGCTATAGTTTGCATCTTAGTCTATGGTCACGAATGGAAATCAGTCAGCAAATATGACCTATATTTCCTAACATCACTGTTGTTTTAAGTCCCCAAACAACACATAATTAATGGATTCTTTTAACATTGATTTCTAATGTAAATGAAATGTAAAAACAATGTATGCTATATAGCTTACATCAAACAGTAGCATTAAAATAGTGGGCAGTCAGACAAATAACCTAGTATTTGGTGGAAACCAAACTGCAGTGGAACAGAAACAGTACTGCTTTGTGATGGTTACAGGCTGGAAAGCAAACTGCTGCCATTTTATGTTCCTTCCTATAGCCACTCATGTACAAACCTGTGACTACCGTACATTACGTTTTCTTACATTAATATGAATACAGTCAGCCCGCAACTTACACAGGGTCACATTTCGGGGATCGCACCTAAAGCCAAAATCACATATGGTCAAAAAATATTGGGTTCAGTGGTGGGTGGGATTGCCAAAGTCTTCCCCCACCCCAGACGCCTGCCACCAATTATTATTATTTTTAAACAAATTACAAAAAAGAGTCAAGTGTGCAAAGCTGAATGTCCTGTAGTTAAGTGTGTAAGTTGTGGGCTTACTGTACTCAAATTTTCCCTCCCCAGCTCCATTCCAATACATGGGGCGGCTTCCTTGTAATAAAAGAACTGATCAAGGCATACACCCGTGAACAAGAGGGTCTTAGGCTCTTAGGAGAATGGTACTAAAACCAATTTTTGAGGTTGGTCATCATGAAGCATGCTAAGCAATGAACACATTAGAAGCCATACAAGAACAAACGTGCAGAACACACAATTGAGAGTGTATTCTGTGTATCTTTGACTCTCACAAAGTCACAAACACTATGATGTAATAGCTTGCCAGAAATTCAGAAGTGCATCAGGCTACCCATACTATGATTTGTTGCACCAAATGTAGAAGTGCAGACTGTATCATCACTATGAACACAAACTTAAGTTGTTTTGAATTTGTATTTATGGTTACCTTTTCAAGGTAAATATACCCACACATCAGTACAGGATAAAGCTGCTTTTATGACTATTTATTTTTATTGGGCTATATCCAGTGGTGTCCATGCATGAGAATAGGCTTTGGCCTGTGCAGTGGAGCTCCTCACAATCTGCTCCAGGGAGCTGGAGGACCCTCTGGGACAGAGCTGGGGGTGCATGTGGGGAGGGAAGAAGGAAGTCATGTTGCACAGGCAGGAGTTTTAAATGTTATTTAAAACAATTATATTCCATTTTCAAAAGAGTTGCTCCAACCTATCATCACTTATAAATAAAACAGCAAAAAATGGCACAGTGGGTCTTTTTTAAAGCAAATTCAAAGTGTGCTCACACACGCACACAACAAAAAATGTTTATGAAACGAGACGATTTTGATATGAAAAAGAGGAGGAAACATGGACGCCAGAGGGCCCTCCCTGGGTAGGAAGCTCCACAAAGTGGGGGCTCCCGGTAATTAGGCCTTGTGTTATCACAGAGTGGGATTACACCTTCTCAGAGATGTCTGCAGGTGTAGGACCTGATGCATAGCAGAGTCAGATTTGGTAGTAACTCTGGTGAATATTTATGACCACCCATCTCCTGAGCTGGGGAAGGAGAAGATGAGGAAAACTTGTGGAGAGTGACAGCAGCGACAAGTGCTACAGAGTGAAAGTTATTCCTCATTTTTAGTCAAAATCCATTTTCTTTTAATTGGTGGCCTTTCCCTCCAGGTCCCGCCCTCTGGGCAACAAAAAGCAAATTTGCTCCACCACCTGTGCCAGAACTCTGAACTCCATTCACATCAAGGGGCTCCTTCCCATCTAGACAACCTTCTGGCAGCCACATGATAGTGCTGGGCAGGACCAGAGACCAAAGCGCATGAAGCAAGAAATGAAAAGTTTACTTCTGTTTGGTGGGCTAGTTTCTACACCCACCCCCATATCCATATCTCTTTCCTTCCTCCAAGCAACCAAAAGAACCATTATTCAGAATCAAGGACACATTCCATTCAGGTAAAAACACTCAAGAAAAGGGGGAATTAGTAAAAGGTGATCTATAAGATCTGAAGAGAAGTCAGAGTAGAAGGTGGAATTTGACACTGCTTTGGGGCGTGACCTTGAGTGGGCGTGCCTATGGAGGAGGCGTGGCCTGGGGAGATTTCCCACGCCCATAGAGCCCTAGAGGGCCGCGCGCTGACGATGTAACAGTCCTTAAACTACCTGAAAACTATTTGATGAAACTTTCCAGGGTGCTGCGAGAAAGGCTCTTTTTTTGCACGTGCCCACAATTCCAACGAAGTGGGCCCACGCTTGGACAGCCTCCCCCTCCGGCCCTCTCACCTGCAGCGCCAAGCACCGGGCGTCGCTGCTTTGCAGAGCCGCCCTCATGTCTTCCACCAGCTCGCGCAGGCTGGCGTTCTCGTCCTCCAGCTTGACGATGCGGTCCTCCGCCTGCTCCAAGGCCACGATCTCCTCGTAGCACTCCCGGGAGCACGAGCCCGACGGCAGCAGCCGGCGATCCGAGCCGGGCCCGGGGGGAGAAGGTGGCGGAGAGGACGACGACGACGACGAGGTGCACGAGGTGGAAGCAGACCCCCTGGCGTTGCTGCTGCTGCTGCTGCTGCTCCGACGGCCGCCCTCTTTCTTGCTCGACGGCCCGCGCCCGGCCCCCGCCTCTTTCTCCCGCCGGCGGCGCAGCGGGCTGCGGAGCCGGATCTGGGTCTCGATGTGCTCGCTCTCCTTGCCGGCCGGCAGCCGCGCCACGCCCGCCACGCCCCGGCCCGTGGCGGGGCAGCCGGCCTTGGCGCTGAAGTAGCCGCACAGCTTGGCGTGGAACTGGCGGAAAGTCAGCTCCGGGGCGACGTCCTCGCAGAGGCCGGCGCATTCCTCCGGGTCGGCGGCCGCCTCGTCGCCGCCGCCGTCCCCCTGCAGCCCCAGCACCCCGCACAGGGTGCGGAAGTCCTCGCCGGGGATCCTGCCTTCGGCCTCGCAGTCCAGGTGGTGGAAGATCTCTTGCAAGTACTGGTCCAAGCCCGTGGCCAGCACCACGATTTCGTTCTCCACGCCCCGGTCCAGCCCGTAGTGGTATGCCAGGGCGCTGACCAGCCACTGGGTCCGGCGCGCCGGGCGGCCGTAGGGATCCCAGCCATCAGACGGCTCCATCCTGGCGCGCCGCCGCCGCCTCCTCGCAACTCTGCTCGCCGCTCCCTCCGACCATGCTTCCCGCTCGCAATCGAGTTCCCCGGCTCTGGACGGGCAGAGCTCCCCGGGCCACGCCTCCTGCCTCGCTCCGCCCCTTCCCGGCGAAACGAGAAGGCGCCTCCCTCCTGCTTTGCTAGATGTTTATAATAGCAACCAGCACCACGCCTGCCGGCCTGCTAAACGGCTCTAGGCATGATAAAAACCGCTAGGCATCGAAGCAAAGCAAAAAAAACACCAACTAACATCACATGAGCAACAGCAGCCTCGAGAAACTTTGGGGATCAGATATCAGAAAGCACGTCGGGGCAGCAAAATTTGGATTTAAGAGCTGCGGATCTCCCCACCACTTTTTTCTCCTACAGTCAAGTACCTGCTCCCCACACCCGGAGCACAGAAAGCGGGTATTTAGCAGTAAACAACTTGTTTACTCAAGCCGAGCCCTTCATACTTCTGGCTAAACGTTTGTTTTTCTTTCAAATAAAAAAAAAGAGTTGTGATTATTAAAAAGCAGTATCCACCACATAACTCTAAACTTGCAAGCATAGAAGCTTGCCGAGCACCTGATTCAGATCAATAAACTCTGCAAACTTTTTGCACATGAGACTGACAGCAGTTTTCGGATCTTCCCACATCTGTACTTGCGCGTGAAATACCTCCCCCTTAATTCTTTTTTTTTTGGGGGGGGTGAAGTTAGAAATTAACACCAAGGCCAGCCAAATGCAATTGGAAAAATAAATAGTGATCAGGCAATTTAAAAATGCACTTGAAACTGGTAAATCTCAGTCTCCTAATTAGCTGAGCGTTTAAAATAGCCTATTCATTCTGAAAACATTCCCACTATTGTCAACCTGAAGCAATTTGTTTCAGTAGAATTAATCTTCAGAAACAGGACTTTAGAATGGGAGCGTTTACAGAACTTTTGTTATAGTAGCACCACTCAAGAGCAACAGTAATAAATTCAACTATGTTTTTGCTGAAGGATGAAAGTAAATGACTCAGCTTATTCATTCCTGGGTTTTGTCAGCAAATAGCTCATTATTTAATTGTTATTTTATTGCATTTGCGCTGGTCTCTGTGTTCATTTCTAACTTCATAAAGTTTCAATAATTAAGCTGTCACTAGGAACAGAAATGTTACGGGCCCGTTTTTCAAGGCACATAAGGCGACAGTCATATATACAATCACCTACATGGCAGTCAAGCTCAGTGGACCTAAGGGGACTCTCTTTGGAGTAGACATGCATAGGATTGCACTGTATGTTTAACATTTCACAAAGCTGAACTGACTCCCGGAAGACAACGAAACTACTTGGGCATTTATTTATTTGTTACCTGCTCTTCACCATAAGGTCCCAGATAGGATTCAACAACAGAGTGTTGCCATAATAAAACATGTAAAACAGTGCCAGATGGAACAGAACCGTATAAAAGGGGTGGGTCCAACTAAACAAATTACTTTAACTGACACAGGCCAGGGCAAATAAATGCATCCTCAGCTTTGCAAGGAGGATGCTAGACACACCTCTTTGGGAAGAGAGTTCAGCAATTTAGGGGCAGCCACAGGAAAAGTGCTCTCCAGGCACTTCCCGGCACTTCTGAGGGTGCTGAAACTACCAAGAGAGCCCCCACCCCTGGAAATATCAGTACCCGGAGGTTGGTAGGGATGGAGACAGGCTTTCAGATGTTTACATGTAGCCAAACACTTTAAAACATCTTGCTGTCACACTGTTGTTTCTTGCTGCAGTTCTTCTGCATTATGTTGTGGATTTCATGGGCTTCTGGTTAAAAATAATTATGCATCTTACGATTTGCTGGTTATAACTTCTAAAAGATGTTTACTTGCTCCACCACAGCATATAATTAAAAGTACCTTGCTTCAAATCAACATGTTTTTGAAAAAGCTGTGAAGGCAGAAATATTTCACTGATGAAGTAACTTGCCCCTTAACCCTACAAAATGTTTGGCAAAGCATAAAGTGGTTGAAAGCATGTGTGTTGTGCTTGTACAGATTTTAAAACTGTCCCCTTTCTTTCACATGAGTAGTTGCAATAAATTGAGCTTCCCGTCCCAATTAGGACAGGCAGCTTATGGTATAATAAATGTTTGCTGATTAAAATGACTGTCCTTTCACAGCGAGTTGAGGATAGTTACTTAATTTCATCTGTCTGGGAATATCCACAGCAAACTGTTTCTGAGGAACAAAGGAGCCCATTGACCTGTCGGCTTCAATAAAATTCAGATTTCTGGCTATTCATATGATGAAATGTGAACATTCATAACATAAGCACTTTTTAGGCTCTCCCACTCCATTAGTCCTCCAGCAGCTCAAAATGGCAGGAGTAATGCCTTGTGTTCCCATACACACTTGAGTCTTGTAGGCTGACAGGACCATAAACTGAAGGGATATGTTAGTAACATCTTCCTAACAGATTTCTATCTACATGTTACAGTCACTGGGTGGAAATTTTACTACTAAATCCCTGATGACAAGGGAACAACCAAACACGTAGTGGATTTATGGCAGCAGTGTGTTACTATATCACTAGTTTTATGCAGTGCAGGAACACGATGCCAGAACCATGTGCCGGTGCATGAAGATCTAGTGAGGGATGGAATTATGATGGAGTGGTAAAAGGGACCAGGTTAGCAAGTATCCCATACTCATTCAGCGAGTATCCCATACCCATCCAGTGACATCGCTCTGAACTGGAAATTTATTTACTCTACTGCATTTATACTTCACCTGTTTCTCCAGGGAGCTTAAGGTGATACACCTGGTTCTTCTCCCTCATTTAATCCCCACAGCAACCCTGGGAGCTAGGTTAGGCATAGAGGCATGGCCATCTTTTGCTTGTAGACAACAATAATTAATTGCTGCTGGTGGTGGTACATTATAAACTTTCTTTTAGGATCAAAGCCAAGGTACTGGTTCAAGGCTATCTGGCTTTTTTGCCTGTGGTGCAAAAGCCAGTGATTGAGCACTTGAACTATTTTAAGCCTATGTTCTTCTAGTGAACTACAGCCTGAAGCAAAGGTCTTCTCAGTTCTGGGTTATATGGCCTATCTATCCTTCCAGCCAGGGTTGGCCCAATACGTTTTGGTGTCCAAGGAAAGGCAGTAAATGATGTCTCCTACTTCATCCCACCCCAATACAGGTCAAACTGCTTTGACACCTAAGGTAGAAAACATCAAAAGTGTCTCTCTTCCCATCCTTGGCAGTGAAAATACCATAACAAAACACTGTAATAACCAACAGTCTGTTGCCCTTTCAGGACACCAAGAATCAGCTACCTGAAGTGATTGCTTTACTCTGTCTAATGGTTGGGCCAGCTGTGTGTCTATCCATCTGGAAAATGGGCCCATTGTCTGTTTGCCTATTGCATAGCTCAGTAAGTGGGAAGCTTGGGTCCCCTTTTTGCACCCATTATTATCTATTGTGGTCAGACTCTGCAAAAGATAATATTGCCTCACATCAACAGGAAGCAAGTCCTTCTGAGATGTAAATGCTCTGAAGTCTCCTCACAGTAGACTCAACAGCATGCATGTGTAATTAGAACCATATAGCTAAAAGACACTGTCGTCTCCACTGTGCCCAATTTCTGAAGGAAACACAGCCCAAGACCCCTGGAATCCCAAAATGCTCAACAGAGATTGGGAGGCCGATTACACTAAGTTATTCTGCAGCAGCCACCATCTTCATGCATTTATTTATTTATGTATTATATTTTTAAGCGCTTTTTGTTCTATAGGATCCCATTCAAATAGCTCTCAACACTATTAAAGCCACAATATCCAGTAATAAAGGAAATAAGCAATGGAGGTAAAAGAGATGTGTCTTAAGCTGATGCAGAAAAGTGAAGGAGACTTTGAGGGAAACAATTGAACCGCCAAAAGACCCTAAGGACTAATGGGCCCCACCCATTGATGAGAAGGACTCTCCATGAAAACTGCAAAGGCTGGGTTGGCAGATACAAGGAAGGAAATGGAAATAGGCTGTACTGACAAAAGTCCAGGTCACACTGAACAATTCTCTAAGGAGGCTGTACATCTTTTTTGTATTGACTTGATTTGTACAACATTTTTAGGTTGAGTCAAATATATTCCTTTGATTAATAATTAAATATGAAAAGGAAAAATAACTAGAAAAGCCTCGCTGATTTCAATTTTTCCACCAAATACTGTGTAAAGTTACATCTGTTTTTCTGCATTTGTCGACTAAATGGCTCTCAGGCAAGAACTACAACAGAAGGATCCTGGGGGGGCAGATGTTGAAACAATTACATTTGGTTTGTCTCAGCTATTTTAAATAGTAAAATGTCCCCAAGTGGAGATAATTGATTTAAAGACTAACAAAATCTTTACCAGGCGATAAAAGTGTCAGCGTAAATTTTACCACAACACCTGCAGTTTCCACATGAGTGGTGATTGAGTTTCTTGGTCGCATCTCTCACTGGAACAAAGGCATTAAAATGGTGTTGAAGGACACTGGGCCTTTGTTGAACTGCTAACTGCCCATCTGCTGGTCTTTTGATTTAAAAGAATAAATAGAGGATGAATAATTTGAAGGTAAATCTTTTACTTTTTATTCAGTGTGATAAAAAGGAAAAGTGTAGGTCAACATGATGACAATCCATAATTAAATAAACTGATACAGCCTTTTGAGATACAATACATTCTCTGTCCTTCTTTCCCCTTATTTCTAGGGCATGAGATTCCATTCCATAACACGATTATTATGTAATTGAAATAATTCAGCACAATGCAGACAATATAACTGCATAGCATACAGGTCACTGCTCCAACAAAACTGGAAAACTCAAATCTCTAGTTGACGTTTTCCTTAGGAACCATTACTAGATCATGCAGTACCTGAAATGAGGATACAACACTTCTAGGGCTAACCTCTCTTATCAAGAAGAATTTGCTGTAAAGTATCAGACAATGACAGCAAATTTTACCACAGCAATGACAAACCTAGACAGCATCTTAAAAAGCAGAGACATCACTTTGCCAACAAAGGTCCGTATAGTTAAAGCCATGGTTTTCCCAGTAGTGATGTATGGAAGTGAGA